ACATAGGAATAATAAACATAAATAGAAGACAATGAATTATTGTGGGATTATCGTAACTTTGTAGTTAACAGCAAAGCGCTTGCTCGGCAGTTAGCCGCGCTGTGGGTATGACGACTAGCGGGCGGCATAAGTTGCTAGGCACAGCAAGCACTTAGTAGCATTGCATGCATGCGTGCCAAGTCTTCGTCGTGGCGGTTTATACTAAACTATTCTCCACTTGTGGCTAACCATACACGAAGTTGGGATTTATTACACATTCATGTCTGCTTAGAGACAGCATAATGCTTGCTTACACATGTACTAACACATGCCACAACGCTACGTTTACTAATAAATATTTGCTCATTCATTTTCAAGCGCATGCGCGCACGCACACATACATATCACATATACAGCAGCACGTAGTTGCGGACAATTAATGGCAAATACCTTTTTACGCCTCATAATTTTATCCCCAAATGATACCTGCCGTGCTGCAAACAACTTACATAACAACAAAAACAACACAAATAATAATAATCTACAAAAAACATAGGGAAATGCTAGTTAAATGACATGTGGCCAACAAGTGTACGAAAGCGAGGCAATTGGATTTATTTTTTTTTTTTTGCTTTTGTTTTGTGGCGCGCATCAAAAGTGCTTTACGTCCGCGCATGCGCAGCCAAGAAGAATATCAAATTATTATAATAAGCAGCTGACCATAAGGGGCGCAGTAATTGGCAAGGTGCGGCGAAGTAGCCAAAGAGAAAAGGAAATATAAGAACTAATAAGCGTGTAAAAGCCTGAAGGGAAAGGACTGGGCTTGAAGGGAAGGGAATCTGTCTGAAGGGAAGCGACTGTGTGGAAAGTCATTAGAAACAGTGGGCGTGACATCACTGAAAGTTTCGAGGCAACAAATTGAAGTAAAAAAGGCGGAAACTGAGAGAAATATAGTACTGTTTATTTTTACTGATATCCGACCACTATATCAAATAGCTGCCATACAAACGGAGCGATCAGCCCTAAGTCTTTGTATGGAAAACTTTTTTATTTGACGAGTTGTCTTTATGAAATTCGGCACATATCATTATTTAAAACATCGCTACAATCATTGAAGAAATTGTATAGATCTGACTACTATAGCGTACATCTGCCATATAAACCGAGCGATAACACTCAAGCCCTCGTATGGAAAATTTTTTTATTTGAAGGGATATCTTCACGAAATTTCTCATTTAATACCACCTCACGCATCGTTACTATTTCCGAACATATTGTTCAGATCGGACAACTATAGCATATAGCTGTCATACAAACTGAGCGACAAAAGTCAAGACCTTGTATGAAAATTTTTTTTATTTGATTAGCTATATTCATGGCAATTCGCACAATTTATTACCTAAAGCATATCTGAAACCCCTCAAGAAGTTCCTCAGAACAAACAACTATAGCATATAGCTGCCATATAATTTGAATTTTTTCGAACCACAATAACATATAGCTGTCCTACAAACTAAGGGAACAAACTCAGGTGCTTGTATGGAAAAACTGTCATAACTTAAAATCAAGCTAAATTTCCTTTTAATATTACCACAAACTTTTGCTCAGTGTACAAAAATCAATAAAAAAAATTTTTTTTGTTTTCTCTTTAGTCGCGTTGAAATTTTAGCTACGCCCCATGATTTGTAAGCTTGCTACAGCTGCTGCCCTTTTCGATCGTTCTAATACGAATTAATCATATTTCTCTGCATTTTGGTACTTAGCGGCAATCATTATTATTTCTGTTGCTTTGTAAATATGTAACTTTAATGAGTCCACTCTTTGATTAGCGGCGCATAGTTTATGTTGCCACTAAATTTGAGACTGTTTGCTTGTCTGCTTGCGGTTTGTTATTAATTTTTGTTGCTGTTTCTATAATTTGTATGAAGCTACAATTAAGCATGTGCTACTTAATTACATAGCCCAAAGGCAAATGCTACTATTTAAAGAAATTTCTTTGCAGCTTACATACATATACATATATCTATAGACGTATGCGCACGTGTGCGTGTTACATACGGTTGAGCGTCTTGTTGCTGGGTCTCTGCTTTGGCTCATTTGCAGGTACCATTTATTGCTCATGTTTGCCTGCTTCCAATCAGCATATCACGCTGTGCACATGATTTGTGGCATTCGAAATTCATGAAGAAATTAAGCATGTGTGTGTGTGTGTGCGTGTGAGTTGATGAGCACTCAGGCACGAAATGCGGCGGCTACCAGTTTTACGTGCATTACACCGCAGCCGGGAGGACTGCTGTATATTGGAAGTGGCGAAAACTTGTTGGAGATTGAATATTTGACACAGAAAAGGTAGATTGTCGGCGGGAAGCTGAAAGCGATGCACTAACCATCTCTTTGCTTGCGCATCCCACACATCTGACACCCCTATTCGTCCGGTCTGACCCAGTCGTAACAACACGTTTCCTGGGCCTACCGGTTGACCTCGATGACAACCTATCTAATCCTTTCTAACCCAACGGGTTAGGTAACCGTTACAACAACATCACAACCGATGAAAGAGCACGACTATATAAGGCCAAATATTAGGCTCGAGCAGGAGAAAAGTTCAATGTTCAGAATGGCAGTGACGGCCAGAGATATAATCAAGAGGCATTTAAACGTGGCACTCATTGACCAAAGAAACCGCCTGACCGCGGCCACTTCCACACCAACTTTCGTTCGTGCGGACTGTGTCAATGGTTAAGATCATAAAATGTGTCAACGAACCCTCACTGTTATGGCTAAAGGAAGCGGTTGCGAAGCTCCTAGATCTGTGGGAGAGAACCATTTTGGAAATAGTGGTTCGTAGTTGCATTCCGTACATTTCCAAGGCGAAGGTTATTATGCTACGCACGGTCACCAACTCCGGTTAGAGGGTGGAACTGATCGGAAAGATGGCGTGGAGCGTAGGTAGTCAGGGACACACATATGCTTTTTCCCTTTAAAAATCTGATTTGTTGGATCGCTCGGTATCGGATCACCATAGCATATAGCTGTCCTACAAACTGAATGATCAAAATTAAGTTCATGTATGGAAAATTTTTTTATTTGACAAAATACTCCACAATATCTATATAAATTGTTCAGATCGGATCACTATATCATACAACTGCCATACAAACTGACCAAAAGAAATCAAGATAAATGCTTTAACAGGTTCCCTGTCCCCATACAAAAATTAATTTTTAACGGTACACGTGCAATACTTATTTTTGAAATTATATTGCTGTAGGCGTTTTAGAGGTTATCGATGAATTTTTGAACTATCCAATTTGTTCCAGCTATGATACACGAACGTGTGAGCATGCGCTCAATGTATCATCAGTGATACATTTAATAAACTTATTTCAAATCAACCAAAAATTTGTTCATACATGATACATGGACGCTGTACACATGGTACAAGAAAATAATTTTGTATCACATTTGATACATTGGACAGGGAACCTGTTAAAAAACCCTTTATGCTATAAAAATGCACTTGTGTAGGGTATTCTAGCTTCCGTGTACTTTTTTTCTCGTTTTTGTTTATGCTGCCCAATAATTTTAGCGAATCCATGCTGATCTCAATGTCTGTTCGGTCTTCATCTATGTTCTTTTATTACCGCTAACCGAATTTGCTGCTGAGTTTTAATTAAAAAGAGCAAACGTGCTACACTTGCGCAATGAGCTGACAGAGCCTTCGCTGTGCTCAACACCAGAAGCACTGCCAATTACTTTTGTGCCCTCCTCTGAGGCCCTGGAGGCGGCTTTGAATGCGCCTGTTCAGGTATTTATATATGTATGTATATAGCTATGTGTGTATATGTACGCTGAGCGGCATGCTCGTGTTTCTTTATTAGTGTTTGTCAATTAACTTCGATTTGGGCTACCGAACTTTGCCAAATTTATCACCCATTGTGTTTAATAAGGGTTCGTGAGGCACAGGCTGCAGGCCACTTCCTCCACCGACTAATGAATAGTTTGCAATCAAAATTTGTTGCCCACAATTCACCCAACACACACACCTGTCGCGGCACACAAATATGCGCGCATAGGTGGCTGAAATAATTTTTCTGAAAAGGCTTTCGTTGCTTCCTCATTTTCTCCTCATTCCTCATTCCTACTCAGCAGCCAAACCACTTAAAGGGCGAGTTCAGGCCCTTCATTTTTGTAATTTTTTATAATGTGCGCACGAAGTACGTAAATGTGCATGTAATGCTCACGCTGTTGTTGCTGTGTAGTATATTTCGTTTTTCGTTAATGTGGCAACCTTCTAATCACTCACCTATTTAAGTGTGTTTGCAAAGTGATTCGCTTGCTTTTTTCCTTCAAGCTTCCTTTGCTTCAGCGCAATTATTTTTGTTATAACAGATCTTGTTGCTCTGTCATGGTAATATTTTGTTGTTGCTGTTATGTTATTGGCAAATTATGACTGTTGGTAATTAATTATATTAACTTTTGCTTGAGAACAGGCCAGCCAGCAATTTCTCTATACATACAGGAAGCTGCGGATGTTGCAATAACAACAACAGCAAATGCGATCCCACAAATCATAAAGATATAATAACATATTGGCAAGTTATGACTGTTATTCATGGGAATTTTCTAATGGATATATATGTGGGTAAAGAAAAATAAGCACAAGAAAGCACACATAAGAAGGCATATATTTGAGTTTGATCGTTTCGTTTGTATGGCAGCTATATGCTAAAGTGGTTCGATCTGCACAATTTCTACAAATATTATAGACTTGTATTAGAAAATAATTCAAGCTAGATTTCGTGCCGATATCTTGTCAAATAAAAGGGTTTTCCATACAAAGACTTTAGTTGGGTCCTTCTTCTTGCTATAAGCTATAAGCTATAGTGCTCCGATATCGGCGGTTCTGACAAATGAGTGCTGCTTGAAGAGAAGTTGACTTGTGAAGTTAATTTACGTTCGATTATATACTCTGTTTTAAAATTTTAGAAGCAACTTAAAGCCCAGTAAAGAGTTCTTACCTTCAGTAATGAAACATTTTTGATCTGAAACCGAAAGAGAAGAAGAAATTATTAGTATTATGTTTATAATTATGCCATATATATGTATATACATAAATAGTTTAAGAAAAGGTTAATAAATGAAACATTAATCTGTTCTCAAGTTAGAAAAGCTCAAAGTTCTTACTCTAATATACTCTGCAGTAAAAACATATCACCCTCTCTTATCTCTCTCTCTCTCGCCTTCTGGGCCATGCACGTGTACACTTCACCCACCGTTTGACCTCAAACTGAATTCGGCAGGTATAATTTCTATTTGCACACTATGATATATGCAAGGCTGTCATAATGAAGAATTGCTGTTGCATGCCACAAATAGTAAACACCCACAAACGAGTGGAACGAGCGCTCGCATTGCACCTCATAAATTTGTGTGCAATCAATAAAAAGTGGGCTGAACGAGGAGCGAACGCGGTGCCAAACAGTGTGGCGATGGCCGCAGGACTTGAATTTAAATAAATTAATAAACATTTTGATATGCCACAACAGCCACAACGCCACAGAGACACAGTCACAACCGGTGCCAGAGCTGGAGTCAGAGTCAAAGCGAAATGCACAGTTAAAGCCAAAGTCAAAATACAATAACTGCCAGGCATACGAAGCGATAAAATCGCGCGAGACAGCAACAAAAAAAGACTAAATGCAGGCGTGAAGTCAATGCGGAGGCGCACAAACAGCCTGGCAGTGAGGTTAGGTAAGTCGGAAGGGAAGGCGCAGCAGGCATACTTTCGACAGAGAGCTGAGGGGTCATTATCAAACAACAAGTTGGCTTAGAATAATTGCGGGCACAGGCGCTGGCTATGGCGATGCTGATAAAGACACTAGCAATAAAGAGGCAACAACAACTACAGGAGAGAAATGTATGTTGTAGCCAAAGAAATAAGAAAAAGGAAAAAAGAAATATTAAAAAAAATTTAAAAAAAAATTTAAAAAAAATGTAAAAAAAAATATTTAAAGAAAATATTTTTAAAATTCATAATAGTTAATAAAAAAAAGTTAAAAAAATTAATAAAAAAAATATGTTTGAAAAATTGAAAAAATCTTGAAAAATGTGCTGAATTGCTTAATGTAATAAAAATATTTCGCCAACTACTCAACTCGTGCGGGCGTAATGCTAATTTAAATGGCTGCGAAACTTGTTGCCAAATCGTAAATCCGCCTCCGCAGCGTAGGAGCGCTGGCTCGCGCGATTGTAGGGTAGATCGTTGTTAACAGTTATTTTAGATAACCAGTTGTTGTTGCTATAACAATTTAGATAGAAGCGAGTAAAATACCAGTTGTTTTTAGTTTTGCTGTTGTTGCTGCTATGGCAATAGGAACTTAAAAATCAGCGAGTGGTAGGCAGACACAATAACAACAACATGAGCAACAACAAACATCATCGATATAAAAGCGGTATCATAAAATAACAGTTATTTTTTCGCAATAGCAAACGACGTTGCCAACAACTACGGAGGCTTTCGAGCAGCAAAAAAGCAGCATTCAAGCGGTTTGCATTTAACGATGATGAGGATGATAATGAGGTGTGCTGGTGTTGCAACCGCAAGTGAATGCGCAAAAAGTGACATAAATGTACTAAATTACAACTGCAACAATTGCTGTCGAGGCGACACGAGCAAAAACGCTTACGAAGTTGTGTTTGGTAAAAGGAACATTCAAGCAATTTTATTTATTACTAACTTAAGGTTGCCACACTGAATGAAAAAAATTAAAATTAATTTTATAGTTTTATGTATGCATTGATCTGCAGCAGACCTCTTTACCGTTTTGAAAGGACTAATATAACCGTTTATATTATCTTTAGACTAATCTAAGGATATACATATATTCACACTAGAGAAAAGTGTATTTGATTCTGAAGTAAATATGTATGTCAAAAGGGCTTGATGTGGTGGTTTGTAATTTTTTTTTGGGCGAGAAATGCAAGGTAGAAGTAAATCACAAAGACTCAAGATTCTTAATGCTTGCAGAAATTAGAAAAAAGAATTTATTCAGAGCCGCAGATACGTGGATTTCCTTTTGTATTTCGGGATACGGCAACCCTAGTGTTCCAATCTGGCAATTTACAACTTCATACAACATCATATAGATTTGACTTTTTTGCGGTTACACATACTCAGAACGTTTTGACATCTGAGCGCTATTTGTCTTGTTTACAGTAATTTAAAGTATTCAACTCGGCCCAAAAATAGCGATTATTTCCTACAACTTGTCTGAACACCACTCACTTTGAAGTGGTCAGAAACGATTATTTTACATATAACTCAAGCAGCTCACGACTTCTGGTCTTAGACTAAGTAGCCTCTGTGTAGCCAAAAAATATCCGTTTGAAAGCGAACTCAAGTGAACAGACGAAACATTCCTGTGAGTGAGTTGTGCGCTTTGTTTGGACCCGCCACGGGAAAAACTCCTCTAATGAAAAAAAGAAAACAGGCTCGGAAGCAGAAAATTTTAAGTTATATATGTATTTCTGAGTTTGTTGTCACTCGTAATAAAGCTTTCCCGTGCAACTCATTAGTCGAATTTTCACATATTTCATTATAAAAGCATAAATAAAAAAAATTAACATAAAATAAAAATGAAATAAAAAAATATAAAGTACCTACATATTCTTAAATGCCCTCTTTTAACGATGTACCGTAATATCTACTTAGATGACGAAACAAATTTCAAAATGAACACTTAAAGCGCTCCCTGCGCGGTTGCTAGTGGGACAGACACGATAATTTGCTTAAATTAAAATTTTTGTTAAACACTCCACAAGCGACCATTAACGATAACAAAATGTTTATAATGACAGCCAAACCAAACACAACAACAAATTTGAGCAAAATAAAACAGCAAAGTGTAAAAGAAGAAGTAATTCGGCAAGCGAACAAGTAAATGCCCTTAATACAATGGCGCAATTATGAGCACGAACACAAAAGCAACTGCATGCCTGTGCGAATGAGTGTGTGTTCACGCAACCAGAGCAGCATATGGCTGTAAACTGCGGCGACAGCGCGTGGAGCGCATACAGGAAACTAGGGCTAAAACAGATTTTTCAGTTCGCTTGCAAGCCTTGCTGGCATTTCGGTGCTTCACAACGCAACAGCGTCGACAGCACACCCCTGACGACATCAACATAATTATTAGCAGCCTAAAGAACAGCTACAAGTAATATACAGATGCAGGACACAAATGGGACGCAACTGGGATATATAAATATATATATACGAGTATGTGCATATGTATTTATTTTGGGCTACATTTGTTCGTGTCTTGTAGTTACTTGTCTGTTATGTGCATCATTTTATCTGTCATCCATCATTGGTTCCAGCAGAACGCAGAGCGTCTGCTGTCAAAAACGTTTCGTTAACAAAATATCTTAGTGGCTAATGACAGACAAAGTAAAAAACAAGAACTTTGGTTGCACTGCAGCTGGAATACTCTTCACAAATAAATAAGTTTTTATATAATTACTTGTTTTTGATCATTTAGTTTGTATAATAACCATATGTTATAGTGGTCCGATCTGAATAATTTCTTCAAAGATTGAGAAAGATAATGTTGTCTTTGGCAAGCATCTATACCAAATTTCGAGCAAATATCTTGTCAAACAAAAAAGTTTTTCATACAAGGACATGATTTTGATCGCTAAGCTTGTATGACAGCTATAAGTTATAGAAGTACAATCTGAACAAGTTCTTCAGATATTGCAGCGTTGCCGAAGAAAATAATGAATGTCAAATTTTGCGTAGATATCTCGTTAAACGAAAAAGTTTTCCATACAAGAACTCAATTTTTATTGTTCAGTTTGTATGGCAGCTATATGGCAGTGACTTGATCTAAAAACTTAACTCGTAGAATACATGGCTGCATTAGGTAATAAAACCTGCAAAATTTCGTAAAGATATCTTGTGAAATAAAAAGTTTTCCATATAAGAACTTAATTTTCATCGTTCAGTTTGAATACAGCTTTATCATATAGTGGTCCAATATCGGTTCAATCTGATAAATGAGCACTTGCTTGGAAAGAAAGGAAAGTGTGCAAGATTTCGATATCTCAAAAATTTCATTTTATATTAATTTATTAATATTTTTATATTTTTTTTTATTTTTATGGGGTTCCCGACGTTTTCTTCTGAATGTCACAAACTTCTTGGCAAACTGAACTATACCCTGTTCTGTGTAAAATTAAAATAAGAAATAAATGTGCCTTGTGCTGTGCTTTGAATTAGCGTCAGATTGCTGCTTGAAAGTGTTGGCATATGCAATGGAGCTTGCTAAACATTAGTAATTTCTATGTGTACTATATAATTAGTAATTATGTCTAACAATAATAATTAATTGCCAAATAATATTTAGTAAATATTCCAACATTTCATCAGGCTCTCTACAATTTTGTCATTGTTTTTGTTCCTATTTGACTATTTGACTACTTATTCATTCATATTGGTTCATTGGTAATGATTTCGGCATATCGAGTTCGTTGCTTAAGTCTACTGTTTGTGTGCTGGATGTTATTTGCAAAAAAGTTAATAAAATTATATAAAAAATAAAATTAAATTTGTGAGATATCGAAGTTGTGAATATTTTGCTGCCTACCTGAAGGTCGAGGATTTTTACTCAGAATTATTATAATTGGTGAGGTTAGTCTGGTAGGCCATTGAGAAACTCAGACCAGTTTTAGTCTAAATGGAATTCAGTTACTAGGTCCATGCGGAGTAATCATCCTTGATGGAAATTTTAACTCTGTGGCTTCACTATCAAAAATTGTTTAGATCGGGGTAAGTCATTTTTGAAATTCATGCGATCTGAGTTTGGGAAGAGCAAGCGAAGGGTCGTGGCTGAATTCAATTTTTAAGGTCCAAATACGTTTTTACTCGATTTTCGGCCAAATTACGAGTCCTATAAAAAAAGTTTATATGGCGAATTTTTAGGCAATGAAAGCTCAATAACTTTTGTAAGCCGAACTATTTCACATAACCTCAAAATATACATGC